AGCAGCTACCAGCAGCCTACCCACCGTGCCACCCCACATCTGCTTCACGCACAAACCTCACTTTGTTCTCCTTTGGAAGGGAGCACATTTGAGAGTCAGAACCAAGACGTTACCCAGCACAGCCCCGTTGTCTCCAGCCTCGCTTACCCCAGGGCAGAGGCCAAAGCGCAGCATATGCAGAGCATCAGTCCACCCCGTGCCGCTGGCTGCACGTAGCCGCACAGGGGGTCGTGTTCGCAAGCGGCGCTGAACACCGGGCCCCGAAATGCGGGAAGTGGCGTGCTCTGCCCTGGTGTGGAAGGGCAGGAGGAGGGGATGGAGGCTGGGAAGAGGGCTTATTTCCTGTATAAAAATACACCTTAAAATAAAGCCTGCTCTAGGAAACCTCTGCGCTTTCAAAGCATATTATAGGGAATACATGTCTTCTAACCAAGTTCTGCAAAGAGAGAGCAAGTTCCATCTGCAGTTCCCTGGTAAGGACTGGAGGGTGAAGAGGGGGTGAGGCAGGACGTGCAATACGGATGGGATTTATTGCATTTATGTACAGAAACCAGAAAGTGAAATTGATTTAATAAGTTATCTGGACAGAGTAATAAGGCAGATTTGGTTTTTTGTTTGTTTTTAAACATCTGCTATCAGAACAGCAAACCCAGGTTCTGCAAAGATGTCCTAAAAAGGAAATCTCAGTGTGTCCAACCAGTTGTATGTTTTTTTTGTTATTGGGTTTTTTGGTGTTTTGGTTTTTTTTTTGATACAGCAAGCCAGCTAGTGTCTGCTAAATCACTGAAACCAAAGCACAAGCTTCCTGGCAGCCCGGCCACGAGTGCATGAGCCCACGAGCCTGCAGCATACCTCTGCTTTCCATCACAGCTCCTCCTCACCCCTGCCCTGTGTTCCCTTTTCCGTGCTGCAAATGACTCCACCATCCCAGATTATGTCCAACAGCTGAGCCTGTTGCTCTCTCAGCCTCACTCCTCAGCATTGACTCAAGTCATCCTGCTCCTCTGGGAGCATCTTGGGATGTTTTCCCCCAAAACAAGGAGAAGAGATTTTGCCTTTACGCACCCAACTTCTCTGCAGGCTGAAAGGCCAAATAAACACTGCAGATGCATTAAAAGAGTCACCGCACCGGAGCTGAAAGGCTAAGGAGAAAGCTCAGGGGAGATGTCCGTGGGGTGAACAACAAACGGCATGCTTGCTGAGTCAACAACTTCTACAAGCCATAAAAAATAAGGATAAAGATGCATTAATCCCTTCTCCTTCCCAAACTCATGAAGTTTAATCTCGGCAGCAACACAGGCTCACACACTGCAGCACGTCCCTCCTCCCGACTTCGTTTTTTACCTCTCCTGCAGTTAACGACGGGGAGATAGATGCAAGGTATTTAAAACCAGAGCGCGCAAACCCACGAGTGGGCAACTAAAAAAGAAACCACCACCGAAAGAAAAGGAAAAACCCCATCCAATGTGTTAGATCTTGCCAGTGCCCCTCTGCACTCCCCCATCCACCACGCTGATATCCAGGCTGCATCCACCGATGGCAACTGCCGAAGGGGACACACGCCGTGCTCAGAGGTAAGGGAGGCTCCCGAGACTGAGGATCTTTAAGCCTCAGCCCTTGCTCCCATGAGTAAAGACAGGACTGCGCAGTTTAGATGTTCCAAAGTCTCTGCCCAAAGGACTTCCCAATCCATCAGCCTCTACAGAATGAAAACAGAGAGGACTAACAATCCCTTGATAATCAGTGAAGTGAGGCCTTGCTTCCCCTTGGAAAATATGGGGCAAGCAGGCATCTCTCGGCCATTCCACCCCATTTTATACGAAAATAAGCTTTAAAGCTGAGGATGTGGGCAAGAGGAATGCGATGCACCCAAACTGGTTTCCATGTGCTGGATCACACGGGTCTGGGGGGGCCTGTTCCCACAAGCACCCTGGTGAGACCCCACCTGGAGTGCTGCGTCCAGCTGTGGAGCCCTCAACATCAGAAGGATATTGACCACTTGGAGCGAGTCCAGAGGAGGCCACGAAGATGATCAGAGGGCTGGAGCACCTCTACTATGACGAAAGGCTGCAAGAATTGGGCTTGTTCAGCCTGGAGAAGAGAAGGCTCCGAAGAAACCTCATTGCAGCTTTCCAGTATCTGAAGGGGCCTACAAGGGTACTGGGAGAGGACTTTTTACAAGGGCCTGTAGTGATAGGACAAGGGGTAATGGGTACAAATTGAAATCAGGGAGGTTTAGATTAGATATCGGGAAGAAATTCTTCACGGAGAGGGTGGTGAGGCACTGGCACAGGTTGCCCAGAGAAGCTGTGGATGCCCCATCCCTGGATGTCTTCAAGGCCAGGCTGGATGAGGCTTTGAGCAACCTGGTCTAGTGGAAGGTGTCCCTGCCCATGGCAGGGGGGGTGGAACTAGATGGGCTTTAAGGTCCCTTCCAACCCAAACCATTCTATGATTCTATGAAGCGCTGCTGCAGGAAGCATCAGCTGGGGTTACCAGCCAGCACAGCAGAGACCGGCCTGGGAGCTGCTGGCTACCCCCTCGGCAAGCCAACAGAAGCTGCCTGTTTGTGTCTGATTGCAAGACCCACACTTCCACACTTCCCTCCACCTCTGCAATTCCCACTCCCCCGCCCTTAGTAAAGCCGTTTCCCACCATTTCTATAAAGGAAAGAACATTAAAGGGCTCCCTCTTCTGTGCAGCTTGCTTCCTTCTCTTCCCCACCCAAAGTGGGTCTGCTCTCCCCAGCTGGCAGCTGCTTTCTGCTGGCGGGAGAGCGCTCATCCAGGACGAGGTTGGTCCTCGGGATCAGCTCCCAGCGTCATTACGGCAGTCTCCCACCAGCCTGGTGCTCACACAGTTTCTCCTTGTGGGAAGGGAGCCCGTACCTGACTTCCACACCTCGTTGCTGAGGGTTAGTTTAAACAGACAGGACTTGAAAGGTGTAAAGAGCGTCTCCCTCCTGCTCCGAGCTGGTTAGGGAGCAGGAAAAGCGGCCTGTTCTTCCCTCCATGCCCACTCAGCCTTACCGCTACGCTCGCTCAATCCCTCCACCTGCCCTGGGGAGACCAGTGAATGAGAATTTGCTGAAGCTTCGACTGTTTCCCAAGGGAAGAGTTAAAAACTAAATACAAACAGTCCCACGCTCACTTTCTGAAATTCCAACAGCAGATGTGTAAACACCATTTGCCCTCTGCCACGCTTGACACCGAGACAGCGCAGCTCACTGTGACGTCACCTGGGATTTCCATCATCTCGACTAAACAAAAAAAATACCCAAACCAGATTTATCAAATCCTTGTGTTAATGCCAGGTAACGTGAGCAATAGGGAAGGAAGTGTAACATACTGTATTTTTAAATTAAAGACGTCCCTCTAAAAGAAGGATAGGGAAAATAGGATTCTTCCTCCACAGGAACGCGCTGTCCCCAGGTTTCCTGGGACTTAACAGCTACTCAGGAACAGGAGCAGTGGGTGCATGGCTGGATACTACGGCCAATCCCTATTTCCAGGAACCGGAGCTAAGCCAGAGTCATTTTATATATAAAGGCGTCGTGTCACTTTTACTTGGACAGTACGTTCCTGCAACAACAAGGATGGGGATTGTGAGGATCAAAATCCAACAGCGAAGCAGCAAAGACAGCATTCCCTATCTACCTGTACATTACCACACGATGTGTAAGGCCATGATATTTTGATCCTTCAACTCAAACGAAAATTTAGCAGCTTCTCACAGGGCAAACACTCCCCCCAGTTGCTTCAAGACAGTTACGACAAGGTATATGCATCCAAGAAGCCAACTCTTCCCGCTGAAACCAATCCTGGGGAACAGAGTGTCCAGGCCTGTCCGGCGAAGAGCCTTACAACCACTACAGTGCTTGTGTGACTGGATCACCCACCCCCTGTGAATGTGGCTTCCTGCAAAGAGAGTCCTGCTAACAGCAACCAGGATATTCCGACCAGGTAACTGGGGAAGGGGCGGGGGGGGAGGCAGAGGTATACATATTTCTGGATTTTCTTTTCCCTGCTACCAGAATTTGAAACAATCTTCGAAAGTTCAGTTCAGGAATAAGCTCTGGTGTCCTCCTGGCACCGCCGTCAACGTAAGCCCACCTTCCCTCACAGCAACAGGCAGCTGAGTTGTATTTTGGAGAGACTTTCTGAATGCTGCTTGCCCCTCCCCCCGCCACAAGGAAGAAGCCCATCTCCGTGGGCCCACGGAAGCCCGTTCGGATAAACCAGCAGGCTCTTGCTGTACGAAGCTAGGGAGACACACTAGCCTCCGAGATGGGAGCCACCCAGGATTCAAATACCAAGGTACCTAGCGTGGCAGGAAGGGTGATTTGGGATTGCACCGGTGGCACCAGGGATTCCCTACCTACAGGCATTCATTTTAACTTGACATTTTCAAACACTCGAACCCTTTCCAGGTTACATCTGAAAAGGGTTACCTCTGCCTGAAGATGCGACCAAAAGGAACCCAAGCTTTAGTGCAGAACCACCTGAGCTGGAAAAGCTTTGAGACACGCAGCTTACTCAGAAGAGCGGGGCCACCAGTTTGGTTCAGTCCCTGTGCCTCGGTGACTGGGGCTAACTCAGCATTAACACAGGGCTGGCTAACTCAGTCACACCCTCCGAGCTTTCTGGACCCTGCTAACCACCGGCCGTTCTCCAAGGCTCTTCCACAGCCTGACAGCAGGAGCTGCTCTGGCACCAGACCAAAGCCGAAAGGGTTGTTTTATGGGCAGTACAGCCCCAGCTTCTGGAAACACGGCATCACTGAGTGAGCTGCACAGGCAGAGAAAGGAGGAGGGGACAAAAATGACTTTTGGGAACCGACTTGTGCAGAGCTGGTTTCTGCGAAGGGGGCAGAGGGCATTCCTACATGTTGGACTTGTCAGCCTTCGGCGCTCTAGCAATGCTCAGCAGAAGGTTATTGCACAGCGAAGTTGTCACGCAGCCCATCTCACGTGAGGCGCTTCTAGACATCACGAGCTGCCCCTTAACTGGGATCCCGCCAAGCCCAGCTTCAGTCCCAGTGAGGCGCTTTGTCCCGCCCTATCACCAAGGGGATGCTGGAAGAAGAGCCTATATAACATATATACCTATATATAAACGGTGTCTGCACCCAGTGCGCAAGGGGTTTCAGCCCCTGCTCTCCGGGCAGCAGAAGGGCTAGAGAGGCCGATAAGCTGCAAGAAGCCGGTGTGAGGAGGAGAAAGGCACGAGAAAACAGCAGCTCTTCAGAGACTGCTGTCAAACATCTGGCTGGGGAAGAGGAGAAGAGAGCTCAAACCCACTCTGTTCCTTGAGCCCCTGATGCAGATGGAATGGGGAAGCCAGCGCTGCACCAACCCCACTGGTGCATCCAGGAGGCAACCTGGTGACATCCTTTGGATCTTCAGCTGAGGGCGTCTCTGCTTGGAGGTATCCAGGGCACAGCTCGCGAGGACGGGGAAGGCTGCACAGAGTGCTTCTGTCTTGAAGGCAGGGGAAGGGAGGAAGAAGAAATCCAAGAGGGAGAAGGCTAGGTGAACACAGCAGGCCTCATGCTTCCTTCAATAAGGGAATATCTGAATGGTGGGGAGAGAACAAAAGAAAGAGTAGTCAAACTTTTGCAGTTCAACACGCACCACAAAAACTACTGCCGAAAGCAAGAGAGGCTCCCGCTTCCGTAACATGGTAATGCAGCAGTCTTCCTGCCATCACAATGGCAGAAAGGACCCCTGCAGGGCTCTGCTCTGACCTGCCCCTGCGAGCGGGACCGCTGCCAGCTCCAGCTCTGAAAACCTCCACGGACAGAGACCCCATCACCTCTCTGGGTGTTCATCTGGTCCTGCGCTACCCTCCTAGCGCAAAATACATTTCTAACGCCCAGTCTGAACCTGCCAAGGTACAGCTTCTGGCCGTTGCCCCACCTTATGTCATCTGGCTGAGAAGAGTTTGGCTCAATAGTATTTTTCAAGCCCCTGCAAAGCGGTGACAGTCAATTGTTGGCTTGGCCTGCAGCTGCTGCTTCACCAGACTAAAGCAGCCCAGCTCCCCACAGGCCCCTGGCTAGCTTGGCAGGCCTCCAACAGAGCCCGTCCGGTTTCTCCACACCTCTTGAACTCGGGGTCCCCACAATAAGAGACAGTATTCCCAGTAAAGCCTCACCAGTGTTGTTTAGGGGAAGGTAATAACTTGCCTTAAGAGTAACAGTTTCCTCTTTTCCCATGACCTCATCAATCTTTTAGTTCCTCAAAACGTCCAAGACTGTTACTGTGACAGGGATGGCTGGAAATACAAGGATCACACCTACCCTTATCCAACTTGAAGAAACACAACCTCCTCTGGTAGCTGCAGCTTCCTCATCTTTAAGCCATAAGCACAAGCTTTATGGTCTCCTGCTGCAAGGGGCAACATGCTGCTGTACAACATGCCTTAGAGGCCACACACGTGTCCAGGCAGTGACAAAAAGTGACAGCGCAGAGGCAACATCCTCTAATTTCTACACTGTGGGCGTTTTTTCTTAAGCTCCACTTCCGGATTTCTGCTGTTTACGCACCTGGTTTAATGCCCATCGCAGGACGCGTTGCAGTTTCCGCCCTGTAGTGGAAATCCCCTTTAACTGTGTTTACTGCGAGGGTTCTGGACGGCATTACTATGGCTGTAGGGCTTGACACCACGGAAAGGAGAAGTTCTGCCCTGAGCTATCTACAAACCACTTACACCTCTGGCCTAAGACACGGGCTCCACATCGATCCTGGCACTGTAAAGCCACTCCCTCAGGGCAGAAGTCTAGAACACAAGGTGCACTGACTGTTTCACTGGCTTGCCTCTCCGCCCGGTACGGTACGTTCGAGCACATCCCTTTTCACTCTTCTCGCGTGCCAGGGCTGCAGCACTGTGCCAGTAAGCTGCTTACTAACACAGTCTGAAAATGAAGCCCAAACATCACAAAGGGTTTATATTCCAAGCATATCATCCTGCTACCCCCACCAGTTGTTTTCCAAAAACACAGCTATTTTACCAGATTTGCACTACGATGCCAGAGGCTGGCATTTCTCTGTAAACCCTGTGCTAAGGAGAGGAAAGCGAGCGGCAGAACCCCAAGTTTAGGGCAAGACTGCCCTAAGCTCCCACTCTGAGTGTGCCGCAAGCTTCAGGAGAAGGTATCAACCACTGCTTGCACATCTAAGCTGTGAAACGTGCCACGGAGACTGGGACACCTTTTCCAAAGCTCCTCGAGCGCCTCCCGTACACAGGGGCATTCCTTGCCATGTTCATCCTGGCAGTCAGCTGTAGAACCTGCTCTGACAAGGGTCTCATTCAGTGCTCCTTGCACAAGCCACGTACCATCTGTGTATTCCTCGGAGGAAGTGAGCGATAAAAGGCTCTGTATGTCACTGCTTTCTGAATCTTGGACCTCTTTGTGTACAGGTCTACTGCTAGCCATGCCAGCTACCCAGGAAGAAGTAGCAGCCTGATGCACAAGAACAGTTTCAGAGCGCTGAGAGCCACTGGCTTCACACAGTCCAGAATGTCCGGGGGCTTCATCTTCTCTTTCAAAGCTATTGTGAGCCCCTTGGTCCTGCTGCTGCATCTCTCTGTCTCCGTTCTGCCCAGCTCCCTCCGAGAGCACGATCTGCACTCGGGAGTCCGAGGGTGGAATGCAGTTCCCTGTGCTGCCATACACCGCTTCTTCGTAGGATGGCAAGGCCACTTGGACACCATCCACCATGATAGAGACCTGATCTCCAGACACACCTTGGTCTCGCCTCAAAAATAAAACAGAAGAGGGGGAAGGGGGGGAAAAATTAAAAATCAGGTTGAGCATTTATATTTTTATATATATATATGTAGCAGAGAACTCCAGTAACCTCCCACAGCAGAAGTCTAGTGCTCACCACTGACTTATTGAGGGGTGAAGGGAAACATGAATGGTGGTTTACCAAGGAGAAGCAAGCAGGGCCGTGCAGCCTGTGAACTGCCATAACCAGGAGCAGGGGCCCTAATTCACAGCACCCAGTAGATTTTGGCTCTTGCTGCTAAAAGGTTACAATGCCTCCCACCTCACCTGCCTCCACGGCTACATCTGACACAGATCATGACTCAGAGCCCTCTGCTGTCACAGCCCACGGATAAAAGAGCTCTGACCACTCTCTGATTTCAGCTGATCGCCCTGCTATGTTCTGCAACACCCAGCCCTGCCTGTTCTGCCACCTTCGCTGCTGGGAGATAGGTAACCTCTGGCAGGGTGGGGCAGGCAGCTCTTAACCTGGCAGAGTGTGAACCACCTATGCCCATGAGTCACAGCCCCAGGATTTAATCTTTCTTTTCCAGCGATGTGGACTTCCTCGGAAAAGGGCAGACCCTAGGGCCCCGCCTCTCAACCTCTGGGTTGCTGGACAGATGTATCTGCTCTTATTTAAGGAGTACTGGTAGCTGATTCCAAAGAGAGAGTCCACAGTGACTTGGTTGACCTCAGCTGGCAGCAGTGTCACGGTTGGATCTCTCCCCTAATCCACAAACCCAGGCCAGGAGGCTGCTGACAGCAGGGAACAATAGCAGATTTGCACATGTATCTTATCAGCAGTACTGCCAGAATTCCTATCCATAGGATCTCCAAAACAGGCTGGGGGAGATTATATATATATATACACACATGCACAGGGGCACATACTTTGGCAGCTATCCAAGGCTCGAAGAGGCAGGAGACTCATCTATATCCAGACTAGCAGGGATTATCAATTTTCACATTCAAGGCCAAGGAAGAGCAAGGAAACCACTCAGATGGCACGTCAGAACGGGGACCGCAGCCTGCCATTTCAGACTGCTGCTTGGACCCCGGGGCAGAAGTGCCACGGAGGTGATGAAAACAGAAGCAGAGCAGCGAGGAGGTAAGTTGCTCCAGTATTTGCCTAAACCAAGTCCGTCAATGGGTTTCTACTGCAGAGACAGAGGATGCCTCCGACTCCCTCCACACCCCAGCTACACTCACCTGCTGTGATGGAACGACTTCAGCTTTGGCTGCAGCAAAACAAACAGCACAACTAAGAGCAGAATCAGGGCGACGGAGCTTGCTGTGGAGGCCACTATGGACAGCGTGGGTACTCCAATTGTTGGAGGAGAGTCCTTTTCTACAAAACCAAGAGGAAAGAAAGTAAAGTGATCCGCTCCCTTCAATCACTGTCATAGGGAAGGAAGAGCATCCACACTGCCTGCTCTCAGGACTTGGGTGTGCATGGGAGGAGCCCAGGTTTCCCATACAGTCAAGGCACATCAGCTATCTTGTATAGAGGGCAGGTTAGAGCTGGAGCTGACAGCCCTCCATCAGCTGTAAAGGGGACCTAAAACAAAACGGGTGTACGCAAGGGTCCTTTGGGAAAACACAAGGCAAATGGAAAAGCAGTGCAAGCGGGCCACGGGAACTGATAGATGGTGGTAAGGATCACGTTATATATAGATCTGGCTGAGCAAAAGCTGAAAACATATCCTGATGTCACCAGCAAGGCCAACAATTGTCCGGCACAGTAAGCAGGATGTTTTAGGCCAAACAATAGGAAAAGTTCCAAATAACAGGTTTTCATGGCTAATGGAACAGCCTCTCAGAGGAAGGGTGGAAGTCACCTGTCTGGGTACATTTAAGGCACAGCAAGTATTCAGTTTGTCTCTCATGCAAACATATGCCAGGGAGCAGAAGGAAGGCAAATGTTGCTTCGGGATGCCGAGTTTTCAGTGTTAGATACATGTGCCCTGTTCACATTACTCCTTTTTACCCTCCCCTCAGCTGTGCCGTGTGGCTGTTCGAGAACCAATTTGGCTTTTAAAGGTCCCTTGGAAGACAGGAATAAATTGGGAGTGGAGAGAGAATGGCCTGGAGCTGGTATTGCCGAGCACTGCGTGTCATGGCTAGAACATCATGCTAGTCCTTCACCTCCCTACAGCAAACAACTGTCTGTATAGGTGTCACCTCTGTCCCCAATTTATGTATTTGGTGAATATCTGGAAAACCTCCCTTCCCGATCGGCAAATACTGTTGTGCATTTCGCATTCAGGACATTCCCGTGTGCGCAATTCCTCTTCACTACATTCAACATATTCTTTGGGAGCACAGGTCTCTAACTGCAGGGGGATGCAGGACACACATGCAGGTAGGGGTTTGGGGGGAAGAGAAGCATGCAAACAGAAGAAAAAAAGCTGGAGGACCACTGTTTTTTTACCTCTCCAGCCTTACATCCATGCCCGAAACAGGTATGCAAGCTGGAAAGCCAGTTTGCATTTTTTTCGCATCTTTTCTTGGGGTCAAACCTATTGGTTCAGTTGTTCTGAACTTGTTTTCCTGATTTTTTTTCAGAAGTAGCTTGGCCTCTCCCCAGGGAGAAGCGATGTCTGGTACATTTTTCCCCTAGAGAAAATAGGGTTGAGTAAGGATTGCCGTTTCCAACGTTACTCAGCGCGCTGACAAGCAGGAGGGTAGGCAAAGAGGGGTGCCCCATTTTCAGCATCAGCACATGACGCTGTAAAACTGCTCACTACCCAGGGTACACTCCAGCACATTCACCATCTCCAGTTCCAACGAGATGCTCACTAACTCATACAGTGAACCTTCAAAAGGCCGTGGGGTTGACAGGCTCAGAGTTACAAACCGCCTGATAACTGCTAGGGACATTCCAGTTATTCTGTATGGAGCAGATGGGATCGTACCCATTACCAATCCGTTTAAGACCTACTGCCTTCCTCTCTGCAGTCTCCCATCTCCTCCTCCTTTTAGCCCCGTGAGGGAGACCTGGTAGTTAACCCTCAGCTGGCTCTGACCCTAAGCAGCTGTTTCAAAGCCCGTGCTGGGAAAGCAACGGCTTCTTAACTGGTCCCATATTTTTGGTCAGGCCACTGATCCTTCAGGATGCTAAAGGAATCTGAGGGATTTCTGCTCATCACAACACAATAGCTCTGGTGTAAACCAAGTGCCACGGTGCTGGAATGCCACCCAGAGAACAGAACCTGCAATAGCACAGCTTGTTCCCCAGCCCGGGCACAGCAAGGGGAAGGGGGGCGGGGGAGCGCTGTGGAAAGGAAGCTGAATTTGAAAAGCCTCTTCAGGATAAAGTTGCTGCCAGGTAAACTCCCAGTTCCCTTCCTCAAACACTGTAGGAAGGGGCTATTGGAGAGGTGCTGACAGACACTGAGAAGACAGTGTGTTTGGGACAGGACAGGTTGTTTCAAACATCCCAGCTATGCAGTAAGCTCCATAAAGAGCTTGAAGAAGGCGTTGTCCTGTTTCCTCCAATTAAGCTAACACATTTTGCCTTACGGATTACGAGACTTAATTCCAGAGCATACATGTTGCTGACTCAGGATGACGGAGCAGTAAGACTACTGACAAGACAAATCCGAAGAGGGGAGGAGTATGCACGCTTTTAAAGCCACAGGAGCCGTGGGCAAACTAAGAGCTGTACAAGGAACATTTTCCTGCAAACCTTTTTTACTTTCCTGCTTTGACGGAGCCAATTCCTGTTTAGCTGGGAGAGACCCACAAAACAAAAGCTGTCCACTTCCAGTTGGAGAGAAGCAGAAGTGATTTGTCAGCAATGCCCTTTCCTGCCAGCGCAGTGACAAGCAGCACCACGGAGCTGTTTGCCACGGGAGGCCGACGGCGACTTAACCTGTTTGCGAAGACGGACTCTACAGACAGACGCCCACGTGGGAACAGACGGACGGCGCCACTGAGGGAGACATACTGTCAAACCCACCAGGAGCAAAGCCAGACAGCATGGAAAACTCTTCAGTTGGGGCCTCCCTCATTTCTGGAATGAGGGCTGTCAAAACAAGAGGCTCCACATAAGTAACAAGCTTCCTCCTTTATACTCCTTTCCACAGGTTGTCTCCTCGCGTGAGGGACTCTGAGCTTGCATCGGGTGGGCTGAGGCAGAAGAGACGTTTTTAATGAAGAGCTGTGATTGTGAGCTGCCTTTGTGCAACTGCAGGAGCAATGAGACAAAGCTGTATGGACTTCAACAGCTGTACGGGCTTCCTCAGCAGCACACTGACTCAGTGTTTTAAGGATAATCTGAAAAGCCAATGCAAGGGCAATTCTGACTGCCCCGCTGGAGTCGGGGAGCACTCACCCGGGCTGAGCCTGCAGCTGACTTCCATGGCTGGGTTCCACTCTCCATTCTTGCAGGTCAAGTATTTATAATCTCCTTTCAGCATGTAGCCTTCAACGCACAGATACTCTATGACGCTGCCTGAAGTCAGAGGATTGTTGCAGGGGCTGGGGTGGCATTTATAGCCTCCATTCTCTGGCTGTGGTGGCTGAGGACAATCTGGAAAAGAAAGAGAAAGCATCACGGAGGATGTCTCGGAGGAAGACATCTGTTGCACAACAGATACGGCACATAGGCAGATTTCCACCTACGAACACCCACGGAATTAAGAAACCACCAAAACGAGAAGAAAGACTGTTATGCAACGGTAGAGAATGCTGAGCGGTTTCACCTCTGATGTGTCTTCTGTGACTGCTAAATACTGCTTGCTGTCCCTGTAGTACCACCTAGTTGGCAGGCATCAAACCGGTGATATTTTTGAACAGTGACACAACCGTGATTCCACATGAGAGAGAGGCCCAGAAAATCCACGGTGCTATCTTTTCCCCACAGCTGCTTCACTAGAGACTGGGGGGAGGCTACCAACCAGGCTTTTCCTGTTAGCCTCTGACGGAAAAAGCACGAGACCGCCTACTGAAGGATGAAGATACAACACCCCACTGCACTACCTGTCAGCATCAGGGCACACTGCTGGCCCAGAAGGCACCCTGGAAACTTGTAAGAGACACTGGTTTTAGCTATTTTACAGATATAGCACCAACAGTATGAGGAACAGAGCTTGCTGCAGCAGGACCAAATATTTTAGCTTTACTGCAGCAAGACCAAATATTCTAGCCTGGTTTTAAAAAGGAATTAGTTGTATTACAAAGACATTTCTAAAAATTCCCTCTGTTTACTGGTGTGAAGTCTGGAGTGCTGAAGGCGCTGTACGTTTCTCCTTGCATCTCCCCTACCCGGACTAATGGGTACAGACGTTGCACACACCAGAAATTTTCTTGCAGAATTTTCAATAGCCATTCAAATAAAAACAACAACCCACAAGCGAGGAAACTGTGCTGAAAACAGGATATTTGTATTGCTTAGAATTTCCTCTCCTCTGGCAGTTCACAGTGACCCTGCAGAACAATCCCAACACACCCTCCCCTAGCTGACGCCACGTATCTGCCTGGCTGAAAGAGGGAGAAATCCAGATTTTTTTCCCTTTAAATCCACATCAGCTTCCCAAACATCACAAAAGAAAAATACAAAGATCCCTCCTGAGATATGCTGGGGCATGGAAAACCAGCCAACCCACCCACCCTATTCCACCACAGCATGGTCATCCAGGCCTGCCCTTGACCCCCGGAGCGCACATTCCCACGTTCTGCTTTTCGGTGTCCCACTCACTGTGGGACAAACAGCAAGAAGTGGCTGGGCAAAGTTCAAGTAAATGGATTTTGGGCAGGATTTAAGAAGCAAAAGAAAACTTTACAGATTCATACCAGTGTGGAAAAATTTGCTGCAGTGTAAGTGACCCTTGAACCCAATCACATGTGCAAATGCATCATAGGCAGTGCCTTGTAAATGCCAGTAAACCCCGAGATGAAGTGCTGAGCGAAGCCAAAAACCCTCTGGCATGAGTTCTGCCAGTTTTATAACTGCAATTCAATTTACTTCTTCAGAAAAAAAGGTTAACAGGGGTCTAAGCAGCAGCTTTTCAAGAAGACTTTGTTCTTGAGGAGATTTATTCTTAAAATAAGCTTCAGAGAAACCACTGTCCCGTGCCTCACGAGTATTAACTGTTGGCTCTTCTGCGTTTCTTTATTTTTCCTTCCTGCAATATTTTTCCATTTTGTAACCGATGTTTTAACCGTTCACCTTACGAGGTTACAACTTGCTTTCCCTTTAAGTCTGTCCAACACCTGGGGTCGGCTGGGATCAGCTGAAGCGACAGATTCAGGGCACATTTCACACTCTGGCACATAGACAAATGCCCTGGCTCATCTGCAGGCCAGGAGAGGGGTTTCTTGCTAAACTGCAAGGGCCCATTTGAGCACCAGAAATATTCGCAGCAGTTTAACACGTACGTCTCTAGGCAATGGATGAGAGCTGTGGGGGAAAGCTACTGCTGCCACAGCAGCTACCAAAACTCAGGAGCAGAGAGAACAACGCCCCTACACATTTTTATGTCACAGGAGGTACCTGGAACTGCTTGGGAGCCATGCACAGCATCTTTCTACCAACTGACTGCAGCAAACCGAGCTTACTGAACTGTACCCACACATGGCTGTTGCACCAGGAGCCCGTTTGGACCAGGCACCAGCTCGCTGTCCCGTTCCCTTCAGTCAAGTGCCACCTGCACTGATGAGGTTTGAGCTACATACAAAAATCAGCCAGCCAACAAGAAACAAGCCATCATTTACATTGCAGTAGCGCTCTCAAGGGCTTGGAAATACCACGGCATCAGTCACCTACAGAACCCTGACTTGGCCTCCCCCCCCGCCCCCCCCAGAGATGCACAGCTACGCAACTGCCAATGGTTTCCCTCTGCACCTCCACCGGGCACGCAAACGGAGAGGAGCAGCCAGTAGCCATGCTCAGTCAGCTGTCCCTGGCTTGTCCTCTTCACACAGGGAAGAGACTGCAGATTAGTCACCTCCCCTTTTGCCCCCACCTCCTCAGATCAGCTGTCATCACAGCATCCAAGAGAGTCACAAGTATTTTAAAATGTCACCTTCACTGTGATGGAAAAACACCTTTTTATGTGCTGGGGAAATAAAGATCTGGGTCAGGCAGCCAGAAGACCAAGACCCTCCACCCTCACCCTGACCAAGCATTTCTGGGCACCCCCAGCTCCCCTGGAAGACCACCTGAACTGTCCTTTGCAAGGTAGCCTTGAGGGAACAGAGCATCCCAGAGCCTACAGCTTTGGAGTGGGCTACTAGACAGTGCTGATGGCTTTAAAGGTTGCTGGAGGTGGCCCAGGCAAGGGTTGGGTGATGATGGCGCCTGAAAAACTGAGGAAGTCAAACACCTCTGCTCCTTGCTGGATCAGCTCCCTTTCCTTGGCATCTCCAATAGAGCTCAGCACCTCTGCAAACCAGGGCCCAGCCTAACACATACACCCCAAAAGCTTGGGACAATGCATCTTTCCACTACAGCAATCTGTTCCTAAGTTCTCAGTACCCTCTGCTTTCACACACTCCATAACGGGTTTCTCCAACTGCCTCCCATGCATGTGAGCTAACCCGGGCAAAGGAAAGGGACGGTCTGATGCTGCAAAAACCCCGACCTCACCAACCAGCAGCCAAGCTCACACGCCCTGACGCTGCAGCGCTGGCGTACCCACGGCAGTACGGAACCATTTACCGCTTTTGGCAGAACAAGCCACGGACACACCGGGGGTGAACAGAGCTGGGTGCCAACTGCTGCCAAAGCAGCCCACTCCTGGCTACGCTTCGCAGCCCGAAGGCGCAGACGGATGGGAATAGCTCCTTGCCTGAACGGCTTATTAGCACTCCAGAGTGTGGCTCTGTTGTGAGGGTTCCGTAGTGGGTTTGGGAGCAGCCTGACCCTGCTCTCCTTCCAGCTCACGCTTCCCAAGTGGGCTGTTTGCGTGTAATCAGCAGTGTTTGCATGCGGCTGTGTGGCCCAGCCCCAGGCTGCAGCGTGGCTCTTTGGGTATTACTTGGGCACACTGATGCTTTCTGAGTGAACTAAAGCATGGAGAAGGGTTTTTCAGTGTTTCAGGTCCAATTAAAGCTGGGCAAGTTTCAAGGGACACAGCAAAACCGTGACACCACTCCCCTCTCCCCCCAGAATTATGGTTTCCAAGTTTCAAAGGTGTGTGACACACAGTGGAATCACTGAAGCTTCCCGAAAGGTTACAAAAATTCCTTTAAATTAGCAGGACACCAAGTCCATTGACTGTAATCATCAACCCACTTCCCAATAGCACCAGCCTAGATTCACAACGGCACTGGGTTATATCTAAAATACAAAGAAACATGCAGGAATTTCATCAACTCCCTCCCTGCAACACATGTTCTTGGAAGTATCCCACAGCTTACGAGACATCTTAAATAAATGCTCACGCCAGGTAGGGATGAGAAAGAGAGCCAAGTTACAGAAGTTACCAACTTCCTAGGGGGTTACCGACATCCCAGGATTGCAAAGCTATTCCCAGCATCTTGATTCATCAAGGTTTGAGGACACACAAACAGGGGCTTTGAACATTGCAGCACTGTGTGAGAAGGGGGCAGAGCTCTGCTCCCAGAGGCCTCGTTTCTAAGAGGTACTGAAGTTTATGGCATCTCGCGAGAGCGCTGGTTCTCTGCCAGCATACACTGCTGGAAAACAGGAAGGAGGTAACAATTGATGAGAAGTCCAAACATTTTGAACATCCCTGAACTCTGTTCAGGGAAAGCGTCATTTCCAGACTGACAGGCAGAAATAAAGTTTTGCACTGGAGTTTCTGCAAATGCCATTCCAAAATACTAGGTATTTTTCATTTGTTTATAAACAAATATACATTTATACATATATATTTGTACATATGCACATGTACAAATATACATTTGTTTATAAACAAATGAAAAAAATATTAAGCCAGCATGCACCTCCACTCAGTTTCCCATCAAATC